AAAAAAAAAAAAAAAAAAAAAAAAGATTGAATTGATATTGACTGATCCAGTATTTTCATTCATAAATAAAGCAGCACAGCCAGAAGGCAGGGGTCCTCCCTGACACACAAGACAAGGCATGGTGGGTAAGTCCAGCCCAGCCCACTGGGTCCCACAGTGATACCCACCACCCTCAGAGCCATGCCAATCCGCAGAGTCAATTTTTAACTCCCAACTATAAAAACAGCCAAACGTTTTTATGTCCTCTTTATCTTTATGCTGAGAGCAATAAAAGAATGTCATTTCCCCAAACAGCCAGGGTTTGAGCTTGGCCAAAGTCAAGGTCAAATTCACCTGGAGTTGTTTGCTCTGCTTTAAATAATCTTATCTCCCTCCTCCAATTGCCCACCCACTTGTTTTTTGATAACACGCTCATTGAGGAACTATCAATAAACCACAAGGGAAAAAACACATCGAATTTCACCACCCAGAGATAACCATTTTGCAATCGAGTCTCCCAGTCTCTGTATTCTACTTATCAATGTGAGATTATAAATTTTGGGGGATGGCACGAAACGATGCCATTGGGAACACTGTCTCAGGCCATGAACTACCCTCACGTCCACGAGGCCCTGAATCCAGCACAATCACATGAGTGAGCTTGGAAGGGGACCCACAGAACTTACGGTGAGCCTCAGACGAGACCAGCTTCAGCTAATAGCTCTGCCGCACCCTCATGAGACATCTGGAGCCAGAGGATCCAGATAAGCCAACCCTGGATTCCCAATCCACAAACACTATGAGATAATAAACATTATTTTAACTAGCTGAGTTTGGGGGTATTTGTTATATGGCCACAGATAACTAATACGGTGGTTAAAGTGTGAGTCCTGGGGCCACGCTGGCTCAGTTCAAAGCCTGGCTCAGCCCCTTGCTAGCTCTGGGCAAGTTACTTAATCTCTCTGAGTCTCAGTTTTCTCTGTTTTATGGAGCTGTGGCAAGGACTAAATGGGTTAAGGATAAGCTCTTATTCCTAGAATTTAAAAACCATTGTCCTATTGTTACTTGCCCATAAGCAGTGTATAAGAGTGCACATATTCTGGCATCTTAGCCCTATCTATCATCTATCTATCTATCTATCAATCATCTATCTATCTATCAATCATCTATCTATCTATCTATCTATCTATCATCTATCTATCTATCTATCTATCTATCTATCTATCTATCTATCTATCTATCTATCTTCATCTATCTATCTATCATCTATCCATCCATCACCTATCAATCATACTAGATATGCCAAATTGATAGGCCAAAAGAAAAGAAAACATCTCATTAAATGAGTTTCTGAATCTGGCACAACCGTGCCAAAGAGTCAACTCCAGCTGAGAAAATGCAGGGCTGAGTAACTCTGATTTAACTCCTTCTGGTTTTTTGCATTGTGTCTCCATATCCATGCTTATAAAATAAGCTTTAGGACACTCCTCACCTTATTGTAAATATAAATGAAGTGCTTTCACATGAGCCATTTCTTCTGCTACAACTAACTTGTGAAGCAGGGAGGATATTATTATTATACCCACTTTCCTGATAGGAAAACTGAGGCTTGGAGGTCTGCCCATTGGAAAGGCTCACTTGGCTAATAGGTGGTGGACGAAGCCAGCAGCCCAATCTTACGAGTCTTAACCCATTGCTCTTTCTTGATGTTTCCTTGGGAAGGCTCAGATGTCCTTGAGAATGACCTTCAAAGACTGAGCTGCGTGTACCAGCAGGCTGGAGCTCCCCAGGGGCCATGATCTCTTTTCTCTGATGTATCCTCAGCACCCAGTACAGCACTCTGCACCTAGCAGGTGGCTCAACAGGACTAGCTATGGAATGAATCTCCATGCCATGACTCTCCCTCCTACTTGGTGCACCCTAGACCTGGAGTACCCTGGTTTTGGCTTATTTTTAACATAATAATGGGCAAGCATTTATATGTTCTCTTATATTTAAATAAAACAAAACAAAACTTCAAAACCTACTAATAACTCCTCAAGGCTACCAATGTTGAGAACAACAAGAAAAGACAGAGAAACTGTAACTGCAAGGAGACGGGGGAGAGGTGACAACATGCAATGTGGAAACTTGGACTGGATCCTGGGACAAAAGGAGGCAGTAAGAGGAAAATGTGAAATCCAAAGAGAAGCCTGGGGTTCAGTTAATAGTGATGCACAAAGGTCAGCTTCTTAGTTTGGACAAGAGTATCCTTGTGATGTAAGATGTTAACAAGGGGGGAAACTGGGTGAGGGACACATGGGATCTCTCTGTACCATCTTTGTTAACTCCCCTGTATGCCTAAAATCGTCCCAAAGTAAAGCCTACTGATACTCCCGGGAGAGGCGCGAACATTCCTGCTTTTTCTCTCACCCAGGATACAAACATGCAAACCAAGGACATTGCCAGCCAGAAGGCAGACAGGACTGGCAATAAAGGGACACCGACCATGCCAAGCATGGGGCTCTTAAGAACTGGGACAGCCTGGAGGCACAAGATGTCCAAAGGGAGGTTACTGTTAGCCTCTCCCTCCCCCAGAGCCCACATGGAGGCATACAGAGGAGGGGTGACAACTCACTTGCATTCATGTAGCTGTGTGACCTTGGGCAAGTGACTGCTTCTCTGAGCCACAGTTTTGTCTCCTATAAATGGGATTCACTCTTGCTTTCTCATGAGACCACTGGGAAGGAGTCCCTCATGAGATCATGCAAGCAAGGTGCTCGCTGATGAAGCTCACTGGGCTAAGCTGCCTGAACTCAGCAAGGCAGAGAGAAAAGGGGGCCTCTGAGAAAGACTGAGCACAGGTGAGCCCGTGGGGCTGCTGGCCAGTTGGGTGTGGGTGTGGGAGTATGAGGAGGTAAGGGGGAGTGTAGTGACGGTGGGACATTCCAGGGAGGCCACCTCCCATCCAGTGGCCTTGAGCACAGCTAGCCTTTACATCAATTACAAGGATTTTTGTTGCTTTCTTTGTTTCTTGGCAGCATCTCGAGAGCTGTGTGGTTTGCCTGATGGTCCCTGTGGGGACAGCCTGGGCCCTTCTAGCTACTGGGGCCACCACCTCTGTGCAAGCTGGTGGGTCAGCTCCCTGCCCATTGCAGAGCTGTCTGCCTGGGGACAGAAGCATGTGGCAGAAACGGAGGAATCTGAGGGGGTGGTGATGGGGACCGTTTTATGGGGGACGATGGGACAGCCCTGAAGTACTGGCTGACCAGTGCCTTTAGCCTAAGGACTCTTCCACCCAGAATCCCTAGTCTCATTGTGTCTTCTACTAGGACCAGTCTGTTATTGCCACGACCCCCAGGGCTTACCGGGCACAAGCAGGCGGTAGTTGTGCTGGAAGCTGCAGGCCAGCCGCCGGGTGAGCAGCATGGAGGCCATGATCACCTCCTTCGGGAACAGAGACGCCTTCACGTGCTCCCACCCTGAAAGAGCGAGAACGGCAGAATTAGGCCAGTGCAGACCACTCCCCCTCCGGCCAAGTATTCCACCCTTCCCCACCCACTCACTCCCACATTTCCCCACACAGTGGAGAAGGTGTTCATAAGGAATATGCACTTTAAATCAAAGCCTGCTCATGTGCATTTTCATTTGACCTTGACCATACCCCAGTGTCAAAAAAATAACAAATGGAGCCACTTTAAAATGAAGCAGGAACAGCCTTGCCAGAGAAACTGCCTTGCATGCTTTATGCCTCAACTCTTGGAATGTTAAACTGGGATGAAACAACCTTTGGACTGAGACTAAAGCAACCTTGTTTCATGAAAAAAAAAAAAAAAATTGTTTGCAAAGATAATAGGAAAGCAGCTATGACTATGGGACTGATGACTACCAGACTGAAAATAAAAATATTCTTTAGAGTAAACATCACTATGTTATCTGCACCAATAGCAATGCCTTCCTCCTACTGGTGTAATCATTCCCCATGCCCTACCATAAACGCCCATTGCCTCTGTTTCCTAACAGGAACTCTACCTGGGCTTCTCTCCAAATCTGTGTGTGTCCCAAATAGCTATGCTTATTGATTTCAAGTACATGCTTGTTTGCCTCTCCCTGTGAAAGGCCTTTTCATTTTTAAGTTAACACCTGGCGAGATGATTACACCCATTTTCTAGATTGAAAAACAGGGAGAAGGGGATACAGTTGGCTTGAGATGCCTCTGTAGATGAGCTCAGTGCAATATCCACTGGGGGCGAGCTAAGCAACTCTGTATTCTACTTAGCTTGGAAGGGCAAGATGGAAGAAACTTCAGAGCAGATGTCAATGTGGAAAGCTGGGCGCGCCCTATGCTTTGTTCCCACACAGAATATTGGCAGTTGGGCTGTGTGGGAATCCTGTGGACCCAGGGGATTATCTGGTGGCGCATTTTGGGGTGTGTACATCCCCAGCATGACCAACCATCCTTAGTTTGCTCAGGACTGAGAGGGCTCCCGGGATGTGGGATTTTCCAATTTGAAACTGGAACAGTCCTGGCAAACTGGAGAGTTACCCTACACAGCACCAGGGTTCTTAGCTCCCACTTCACAGGAGGGTTGGCTGATTCTCTCCAGACTGCTCCTGAGTCCTGCCCCCAAATCCCTGAGCTTAGCTTTACAGGTTGTCTTCGTGGGCCAGGAGCAAACCTCCTTCCTCCAATGTTTGTTTTCTTTTATCATCTCTTCTCATTCCCCTCCCCTTCTCTCCAAGCCACAATTCAAACAGGCTCTCTGTGCATCTTTTTGTTTGTGGGTTTTCTTGCTAAATACCTGCTTTGTTATCTGGCACATGTACTTTCAGTTGCATTGTGTTGTATCTCAGAACAATGATGGAAGCGTTCACTTCTCATTACTACTTGTGGACCCTGTTTCCGGAGTCCCTTCTGTGTGCCGCATATGGTGCTAAGTACTTTACATACAGGACTATTAGTATTTGTTATTATTTACACCCACAACAATGCTAAGTGCCCCACTTTTACAGATGAGGAAACTGAGGCACAGAAAAGTTAAGTGGTGGATCTGAAGACAGAATTCAGATCTGTCTGGTCCCAGAGTCATTATGCAATACTGAGTCCAGACCTTCCATACATGTCTATCCACTCATTCTGCAACAAAGTATTCCACTGAGCAGCAAAACTCAATGAAGCATCAACTAGAGATGATGGACACAGACCCAGAGAGATCCCCTGGTGCAGAATGAACAAGGAAGGACGACAGTTGGTTTTAGGAAGCTAAGTGCATGTGGGCTTAGCACCACAGGTGAGGAAATATGTGGGTGTCTGGCCCTGAGCTCTGGATAATGGGTTGGCAATACCCCAACCCAGTGCCCAGAGCTAATGGGATGTCGGGCTGTATTATTAGAAGCAAAGAATGAGTGAAGGAGGGAGGTGGTTGGCATTGACTTGAGGATTCACTTATTCTGCGAATATCCATGCTGCACCTACTCATGTGGGGGTCCATTGGGCACTAGGTACAAAAATCAATTAGATGCAGTCCTTGTCCTCTAACCATTATCATGCATTGAGCACCTACTATGTGCAGGCTGGTGCTACAGATACCATCCCATTTCATCCTCAGAGCCCTGGGAGGTGGCTGCCATCATTAACCTGTCTTCACAGGTAAGGCAACTTTGGCTGCCCAGAGGGACATCTTTTGAGGTGTCGGCTCAGCACGCTATACCTCCCCACTCTGACAAACTCTCCCCTCTGTCTACAGGGATGCAGACCTGGCAGCCATGTCTGTTCTGTGTGACCCACTGCCCCAGGTGGACTGGACAAGGCAGGGCCACAGTCCAGGGAGCTGTGGGTCAGTTACCTTCCACACCCGCTGAGAGAAGCCAGCTTTCAAACAGGGTCTTTGGATGGAGAAGAACATGGCCTATGCAGAGAGAAGCAGCATGAGAGAAAGAAAGTGGGTCCTGGATGTGCTGTTTGGTTCCACGTCAAGCCTACAGCCCAGCTTGGCATTGGACACATCACTCACACCAGAACCTAGTGGGGTGAACCTGAGTCTCCCCCCACCTCGGGGGTAAGCCGGTGAAGGTGGGGGGGAAGAGTCAGGAGTGTCAGGCTCAAGGATCCCTCTTCACATGGAAGGAAACATCAGGAGTCAGGGAAAAGCATTCCCACCCTAATAGTGCCTTGGTAAGAAAATTCAGAAAGCATCCTCCCTTGCTTGCATTACCTCAAGTGGACTTCTGTTGCTTACAGAGTCCCAGCTAATAGCTTGGTTAGACTATCAGGCTGATAAGCCCCAAATCTTAGGAGCACGTTGGGAGTAACGATGCCTCTTTGGCTCAGCTCTGCAGGTGGAGTAAGGCCACGCAGGGTAGTTAAGGACAAAGACTTTGGGGCCAGCAAAGCTCCCTCTCCCTGGGTGGAAGTGGCTGTGGTGTGGGTTGCTGGGCGAGATTCTGCTGGGCACTGTATCTGCTGAATCCACTAAACCATCCAGCAAGTAGGGCATCTTTCCATTTCAGACACGAGGAAATGGAAGTTCAGGGGGTTATGGTATTGGCCTTGGCCAGAGGATTGTGTGGGACTGTGTGACCCCAAAGCCCTTTCATTATAACACATCAATTAATTCAGCAAATAACAGAACACATAATGGTAGTAGTAGATACAGAGCTTGATACATACAAATTATTTCATCCTAAAAAAATTTTTTTATTGCTCTTACCAGAGGGAATATTACTGAGAAAAGCAGGGCTTGGAATACTACTGAGAAAAGTAGAGCTATTCTTTCCTTGATAACTCAATGGATTTTTTATCTAACCCAAAATATTCAACTCAAGGCAAGCCTGTTACTTTAGCAGCATGGCAACTATATAGAAAGAGCATTGCTGGCTCTCATTTAAAACCATTTGTCACAAACCGGAGCACTTAAGACTCCACACAATTCAAGTTCCAGGAACCTGTGTTTTTAAAAATTCGAGAATCTCAGAGAACTCAAATGCTAACATTTGAATGCTCTGAAAAAGGGGGAGTCACAACTGCACACTTGCAATTGCAAAACATCACATTGTGACATATCTCCAGGGAACATGTTGGTGGCCCGCAGTTGAAACTGACCTTATAACAAAGCCTGATTTCCATCAGACATTAATTCCTAGCACAATACATTTCCAACAAAAAGAGTTAATGCCATTTGTTCACTTTCTCAGGCCCATTAATTCAATCAACAAAATTAATTAGCTCCTGGTACTGGCGAGGCAGTGCATTATCTCGGTGCAGGAGAAACGGAGATGACTGAAACGCGCATCTCTTTCTGAAGCTCATAATTTAGTGGCAGGGGAATGGGGGTGGGAGAATTTAATGTGTTAGGTGGCTTTACCCATCACGTTAATAAATTCTTACAATAACCTGGCAAGATATGTACAGTACATAAAAATTTTCCAGTTCACTGTCAACAACTAATTCTGCATAAGACAGACTAGAATCATGGAATCACGACTCTCTGCTGGTGTGAGCAATGCGCCTGGGAACAGAGGTTCATTCTCGTGGGAGTTACTACGCCAATACGGTGTCACCTGAGCTGCACCCTGGCAGGCTGGCAGATTTCAGAGGCCACAGGAGAAAGGGGGGTAAGGCCTGAGCAAATGCTCGAAGGGGAGAGGATGTGGAGTGGTCAAGGATTCGGGCATGGGATGGTAGCGTGGTGGAAGGGGGCAGAAGGGGCAGGTTCTGGGGTTGCCAAGGCAAGGGGCCCAGCACACCGGGGGCTCTCCCTGCGGACTTGCTCCACAGCCCCTCAGATGCAAGCCGGCCACAGGGGAAGGCTCCCTTATGATGGCAGAGCTACCTGGAACATGAGAGGTGGTACCAGGGCTCCTGGGTCCCCCCTGCTTGGGGACAAGTCCCTAACTGACCTGGTGCAAACAGTCACTGTCTCTCACCTGGACGAGGGCAATGATATGCTCAGTGGCTCCTCAGCTTCCTCTCTTCCCATCTATTTTCTCCTGGGTCCCAGACTTTCTTAAAGATAATTCATTTCACATCAGTCTCTTGCCTAGAACGCTCCAAAGGCACTTAGAAAAATGTAAACCCCGAGAGAGTTGGGGTTGAGTTTTTCTGAGCTCAGCACAGTTCCTGGAGTCAATTTACATGGTGAAAAAACTCAACACATCTGAGTTGTGGATCTGGAACAGTACCACCTGCCTTTTAAGGTAGATTCGAGGATTCGTATTAAAATGTGTGAGTGGGTCTGAAATTTGTAACAATATTCCCCTCCCCCCAATCTGAAGTCATTGGGTACCCTGAGCACAGTACTCCTACCCCTAAAGTGGCATGAGATCACTCACCATGCCGTGTGCAATCTGCTGGACCTTGGATTGCACATCTGGATAAAGAACGGTGGCCTGAGGGATCTTGGGTGGGGTTGCTTTTGGGGGCACTCCCCTAAATCGGAATGGAAACAGACTGGGTGCTGGCGCTCCTGGTCTCAGAAACCCC